GCTGTTTCTTCTCGAATAATCAATGCCGAGCTGAAAAGCATGGACGCGATGCTTTTAATATTGAAATATCGTCAGGATGTCTAGTCAAATGTCAAAATTAAATTTAAGGACATTTCAAGGAAATTTGTACGATTTTCTAATAGTTTATGATAAAGATATGTACAAGGAACCGAAAAAAAAATTTTATCAAGTCGAGATAAATTGCACGTTAATGAAAATTAATATATGCATTACCAATATTCGATAATAATATTTTTTTATATTATATATTATATTTGAACTTTTAAAATCTAGAGAGAAAATTGTTTCTTAAAATTTACCCTGAAAATCATGGCAATCGTAGAACAATATGATATTGGAAGAATTTTATAAGAGTTTCTCTGATTAATATTTATCGCAATATAATATTAATATTTTTTTATCGCGGTAAATATTTAATCAGAGAAACTCATAAAATTCCATCCCACAATTACCATGATTTTCAGGGTAAATTCTAAGAAAAAAATGCGCAACACATTTTTGGATTTTGTAAATACAAAATATATTGTATTATTTATGCGAAGTAAGAGATTAAATATTTTTTACTCGAATAGTCTCAGCTGACACTTTTAACTGATTATTTAGAAGAGCAACGAAAGAAAAATCAAAAAGACCTATACGAAAAATTCAAATCTATTTTCAGAATTTTTAAAGGAGAAACAAAATTTCAGAACATTTCAAGAACTTCAAGGATTTTCAAGAACGGCTAGACACCCTGACCGTTTATTTTTATTTAATTTCCTCCCTTTCTCTCTTAAAAAAAAAAGATATTTTCTTCTAAAGAAATATGACAAATAAATTATTATTATATTATTAATTATAATTAATTATTATATTATTATATTATTAATTATTATTTTTATTATATTATTATATTATTAATTAATATTAATATTATTATAAAATTATTAAATAAATTATTATTATATAAAGTGTAATTTCAACACGATTGAAATTGAAAAGGAAAATTGAGAGAGAGGTAAAAACTTTGGCGGGTCCATGCATCAGATTAAAAGTCCTTAGTCGCGGCGTTATCAACGATCCGGGTTAAGTGCGATAAGTCGCATCGAAATGTATTAACGTGCAATGAAGGTTGATAGTTGGGTAGAGCAACAGTTGTTTCGAAACTTTGGTCGCGACGTCGAGATCTCAATGCCGATTACAAGCAACGGGGGAAACGAGACTGTGCGTGGAATGAGGACGCAGTCCTTCTCTGATGAAGTTTCCTTTCCGGAAGTCTGATATACGTCGGTCTCTCTAAAGCAATTTGCCCCGCATTTACCGCACGACGTACGGTATTTTAACGCATGCCGCGAGCGCGTGTTCGGATCGCGGGATGCTAATCCCGAAATGTATTTGCGGCAATATATTGGATTCCTTAGAAACTTGAAGCGCCAATTTCGGAAGCGAGCAAAAACGATATGGAAACTAAATCATGGTTCTCGCGAAACTTTATTATACTTGCGCACATAATATATACGAACTCTGTCATATATTTTTAAAATATTCGCATAATAATGTCAAACTTGTTCCAAATTTATAACTTTAACGTACATCATTTTCATTATTATTTTATATAATTATTAACATTTATATTATATATATATATATATATATATATATATATATATATGTTATGCTTTTCTTTTGTACTTGCGTGTTCATAAGAATATTTTATCTATAATATAATATATTGCCGTACACATTTTATATTTCATATACCTAATAAAACTGTATGATTTTAAATTATAACATTTAGTGACACGGCTTTAGAGAAACAGAACTCTTAAAAATCGACTGACGTTTCATCTCTAGACTCGAAAATATGCATTTTTCATAATACGAATATTTATTTTTTTTTTTGTCTTTCGTTAATCTTGGCGAGAGAAGAAAACAAAGAGAGCGCAATAAATTAATAAATGAAAAATTTTCGAAAAAATGTAATTAAAATAAAAGAAAGAAATTCTTACTTCAGAAGAATATCGATTTCGTCAAGTGCATAACTACTACTAAAGTTGGGGTATATGAGCAAATTTTTACTACTTATATAGTCAACAGAATTAATTCCAGTAAAATACACGTACGGCAATTTTTCAACATAGTAATTTCCTCTCTCAGCGGCTCACAGTTTTAATTTAGCACGGCTGACGAGTTTTTTATGTCCATTAAAGAAAATTGTTTACGATAAAAAGCTAGTTATGTAAATTTACCTTATTTGTCGTTTCACGTTTTCGCGTATTAACTTTGTCGCACAATTCTTTCAAGATTTTTAAAATGGAAAATGTTACACACATACATATATTTTAGTAATTAAAGTAAACTTTTTTTACATTTATATATTTTTTTGTACACTACGTTTGCAGTTTATAAACGTATAATTATTTCCTTGTAAATAAGTACGAATTCTTCTTCTACAAAACATCGAATATAACGAGCAAAATTTAATTTACATCTGTTAATCAAAATAAACTATTCAGAATGTAATGTAATAATGATAGAAAATTGAAAATATATTTTATTTTACATAAATAGTCATTTATGAAAAATAAATAAAATAAAATAAACGTTGCTCTTTTTTCCAAATTAATTCAAGAGGATATATAAAGATAGCATATAAAAAGATTAAAAATAATATTTATAGTGTTTTTTCCGCGAATTTTTTTAATAACGAATCCAGCTTTTCATATAATATTTGGCAGCACACACGAATCGAATATAGGCTCGTATGCGGTGATTTTAATTTGTTTGAAACGTTTTTCTTTTTTATTCTGATATTTTTTTCAGTATCAAGTAATACATTTTCCGTGAAATGATCCGAGGGAAGCTTTACAAATATCCAGTGTATATTTGTTGCAGCGCTACCTGTCAGTCCACCTGAAAGATGATAGCATACTCTCGCGTATCATCTAACCGGAAAGTGTTAATCAAATTGTTGCAATCTACAAGTGTACGCGAGTAGCTACTTCGCGTAAGTAACTTCAGCAAATTTCCCAAACTTATTTATATGCATACGTATATTGGAGAGAGAAAATGCACAGGATGGAGAATTATTAATCTCCTAACTGAAGATACAACATTTTCGAAAACATGTTTCGTTCAAAAAAAATGTCAAATGTCGGTCGATAATAATAAAAAGCTCGATAATTGAAAATTAATTTGTCATATAAGAAAGAAAGACGCTTTTTTATTCTTGCAAAAAAATGCTTCATCGAGTTGCAAACATATATTCCTGCACATAGTAGAAAAATTTGGATTTTCTTGTTAAAAACGGTCCCCGTTAAAATTTTTCTGTTAAATATTTAACACATTCATGTGTTAATTTAATATATTACTGTTCTGTTAATTGAACTTAAATGTTAAATTATTAAAAGAACTGAAAAAAATGTCAAAATAACACAATGTGTATCTATTTTTAATTTTACGCAATAAATATGTTCTGCTTTATTAGTGACAAGTTTTTCTGTTAAAACTTACAGAAAAAAATGTTGATTTTCTATTTTATAATATAAGTGATAAAATCTAAAACTGACATATTTTTTATTAATTTTTACATTAAAAGTATGTTAATTTTACACAAAATTTATTTCAAATTATTTGAAGGTTTGCATTTCTTTTGTGTTAAAATATTAACACATTTGTGTCTCCATTTAACATATCAATATTATGTTAAATTAAGAGAAATTTTTCAACTGTGTGTCATTCTTGATCCAAATTCGCGAAAATCATTATTGACTCGAATAAGGAGAAACTATGAAATATAAAATTGTTGAATTTTCCGATAAGAAATGTATATAAGGATTGAATGTTTGACAAGTTTCGATTTAGCCCGCATTTTATTAAGGGCATTGTGTTATCTCTACGAGTTAAATTTCGCGTTAGATTCGAGCAAAAAGATACATATATGTATATATTTGAGCTCTGTTAAAATAGAGATAAAATTTTTTTTCTAATTTTCGATAAAAATTCCACTCCAAAACCGCGCAAAATATTTGCAAATGGCCATAATTCTCGCGCGCTCGATATAAATAAAAGTCTCTTGTACCGTGATTAATATCCGTCGTGCGTTTGTATATTAATGCATGATTTACTTCTATTATAAATCGCCCGCTATTTGTCATCTTCTTGATGTCGGACGGTTTTTCAAAAATCACCGAAACAACCCGCTGATCGCGCGCGTTCTCAATTTACAGAATCGAATAATCCGCGAATGTGTACGAATGGAAAATGATTTATCCATAATGCACATTCGCGTTGTTCATAATCGCCCTTTATTGCATTGCTGACTAAATCGAAATTTGGACGTGCAAACATGCATAAAAAGCGTTGCTTTTACACAACGGACAGCTCCATTGAATTGCAAATTATATTTTTTTTCTTCTGTACGTCATTCGTGTATGCTTTTTTTTTTAACTCTCCGCCATTTTTAGGCAATCCGCCACTTGCGCGATGGTCGGGACGATAGATCGATAGAACAAATTGCGGTTGATGTCATTATGAATTTTGATGCTACCACGCGTTCATCGATCATCATTATTCATCCTCATTTGAATAAACTATTTACTTTGGCCGCGCGAGGATCAAACTACTAATTAATTCTTAGGTTTTTTCTGTAGTTTGCGCATTATTCGTGTAAATGGAAAGTGTCGTGACTTTTTTTATATATATAAAAAAAATATAAAACTTTTTTATATATAAAAAAAATGTATGAGTTAATAAAATCGAAGAACGTAATGTATTTTTTATCGCAAATTTGCAAATATATTTATTTTAAAAATTTGTCAGTGTATTTAAAATGTGTCACGATATATTTTTTGAGAATCACTGATCAATCGGAAGGTGCGATGGTGATATATATTGTTTATGTGTACGGAAACCAATTTCCGATACGATAACGCAAACCATAAACCGCGTCGCGGAAGCGGTTAACTCCTAAGAAACCGTTCAAGTTCTCTTCAGTTCACGAAGAGAAGAAGACAGCGATTTGTTTCGAGGCTATTATTTAAAAAATGGTATATTGAGAGTTAAAGAAACAAGATGAAAAAAATTATTTCCTTCAGCGCAAAATCGTTGGGAAATTTAAAGGACTATTGTACCTATCGATAGTTGTTTAAATCGTCAAAAGAATTCCGAGTCTCGTTTCTCCCAAAGTAATGTCTCAATACGGCTTTTGGTGTTGATGTCTTCTCGCTAGAGATGTATCCTTCACCTCCTTTCACCGACGCGCAAATTTGTAAGTGGCTCTTTCTCTAGTGTTCTAACTTCTGACTTACCTTCCACGAAGAGGAAGTATCCCTCGGGATTGTTCTCAAGTATCCGAAGTGCCTTAATCGTCATCTCAGCCAGGGAAGGATCGCCGGTGTCGTTCGTGTTTCGGTCGACGTCGAAGTCCATGTGAGAATAGGCGAAGAGACCTACGAAGAAGAGGAAAAAAAAGGGTAAGAGCAAATAATTGGATCGTGTTACGCGGAAACAAGTTCACAATCGTATCGACAAATAAGGAAGTCGAGGGAGAACAAATAGGAAAATCAGGACATCAGTGAAAAAAATCCGTGCACTTTTGCATGCACTGTAAAAAAATTTTGTAAAATTACATAAATAATAAATGTAAAATTACATGATAAATAATGAAAAGGTAATCATTTCTATTATTTATCGTGTAATTTTACACTTATTATTTATGTAACTTTACATATTTTTGTGTAACATATTACATATTTTTTTACAGTGTGGGAATTACTTATTCAAAACTGGCAGAATTACTTGATTATTAATTCGACTGTGATTTTTTTACATATTTTTAAAAGTGAAAATATATATTAATGTAAAATAGATAAATTACTATTTTTACGCAAAATTCTTGTAATTTTAAATTTAATATTTTTACTTTATTAGAACTTTATTATTATATATAAGCATTTATGCATTTCATTTATAGCATTTTTACATTACTAACATTTCCTACGTGTAATTCCACGTTCAGGGGAATATTTTTAATCTTGAAAATATATATTTCATATGAAATTACATATAATCTGTAATCTTCTATATGAATAGCAGTTTTACACAAATATTTTGGCAAAAGTGTATTTTCTTCTCCTATTTTTTTGCATTTTGTGTTCAACAAACTATTAATCGATTGTATGCGCGACGAATTAATAAGTCAAAATTTCTGTCCATTGACTCCATAGTTAGTAACTCTATCTTATTAGCCTGGTACATAAAGGCATCATCAATGACGATCGATAAGCACTACGTAATCTCATATTCCAAACACTGAATATCTAATAATTACTCTGATTACGAGACTGTCAACAGCGCGCAATTAATATGACACGACGAGCAATCGCATTAATTTAGAATGCCGAATGATGAAATTAAATTCTTGCAGGCCGCCGGCGACATCCCGCGACAAATTCGCATTTATAATTTAGCGCGCGTGTATTTTTTATGCAAATTAAATCGTTAATCAAAAACCATACATTGTTTGTCGGATAAAGCCCAAACAGCCAACGAGCATTATTATATGTTTGCATTCTCTATCGAGTTTCACAGCGAGCAGGCTATGAAAAAATAAAATGAGAGCGGTTAATTCGCAACAGTAAAATGTAAAATCCCCCAAGACATAAATATGTATATAAAAGAGTTCATTCAAATTTACCTAAGAGACGATTTATTTTTCGCGGATCCACGTTTTCAAATTGCTCCTTGTTATGGACGTATTTCGCGAGTATGTTTTTCCGACGATGATTTCTCGACCATTCCTCGATGAGATTTCGACCGTCCAGTCGTCTGCCTTCCTTATCCGGCTCTTCAGGGTCTAAAGTCACTTTTGGTACGAAATGACGTCTACCGCCACCGAGGACCACCTGATTACGGGGCAGAAATAAGAGCTTTATTTGTGTGTGTGTGTGTGAGCGAAATTTAGTCCTTAATTTGATAAAACTCAATTAAAATTCAGCGATTAAAATCTTCCGCAAAATTCGATCGCCCGATTCTCTATAAGATTCTCTCCCACAAATCGAAAAATTTATCACAAACGATATATAATCATCGACCCTCTCTGATTCTGCCTATCAGTAACGTCTGGACGACACGGAACCGACTTTAATGAGAAAGAAAGTTTTGCCTTAAACTTTCCCGGAGAAGCGGCGCTTCAATGAAATCGCCTGCGGAATTCTTTGCTTCGTTCAAACTTTAAGGCAAGAACTTCTTTTTTTTTTGCTAAAAATAGCGTCATACGAGGCATCCGGAAAGGTAAAAACAGCTAATTAATCCGCACTTAATTCGCAAGTTAATTTAAGTCCCAGAATGCAATGTAAGCATCTTCCTAATCAGGCCTAATTCAATAATCAACGATTATTTAAATTTTAAAACTAGTTGAATCAAGAACTTCGCGCACACTTGAAACATTTGTGTTAAATTTAACAAATATCGCATGTTTCAAACGGTCCAGAAATTTTTGCGTTTATTTAACACAATACATGGATATGTTAAATATTGACTGACACAAATGTTGTGTTGATATTTTTACATAAAATAAATGCAAATTTCGAATAAACTTAACATAAATTTTGTGTAAAATTAATATAATTTTAATGTAAAAATTAACTTTAAAAAAATGTTAATTTTACATTTTATTTTTCCTACTTATAAAATAAAATCCACATTTTTTCCTCTAAATTTCAACACATAAATTTTATCACTAATAATACGGAACATATTTATTGTGTAAAATTAAAAGTAGATGCGCATTGAACTTGTTTTATATTTTTTCAATAATTTAACATTTGAATTCAATTAACACAACAGCAGTATGTTAAATTAACACATGAATATGTTAAATAATTAACACAAAAATTTTAACGAAGACCGTTTTCGAGAAGAAAACACTTCAACTGTGCGAGAGAACTTTGGATTAAAAAAAACTCGGATTGTAAAAAAATACTCTTTCTTTCAAATAAATAATGACATTCCGATTCGAAAAAATAAAAATATGCGCCAAGCTTTCCTTTCTTCGTTTTGATCTGATGGAAAATAATGCGGAACAAGCGTGTCATGTGACAAAAGGCGTGAATAAAACCGCGACACGTATATTTTTACGTCTATCGATATAAGATAGAAGAACGTAATAAAATGTGATAAAAAGGAGATAAACGAGCCACGATAGGAATTTTATGTCCACGCGTATGCAGAGAGAAATCATAACTGTAAAAATCCCTGTTCGTCATCCGGCGCGAATGTAACCATATCGGACAGGCTTTACATCTCTCCGATCGTTTGCATCTTTCAACTTTTCGCGAAAGTTGAAGCGGAGCGACGCGATATATTTTTAAATATTTCATTTGGAAATTTCACCGCGCATGCAGAGCGAAACTTACCTTCGCCTCGAGCAAAACCTATTTATTCGTGAATAATTCTGTCCTCCGATATTACTGTTTATCAATCAAAGTTTTCTAACTCTCGTAAGTAATTCAATTTGTGAAACGGTCGATGTTTGGGTCAAGTTTAATATACATATAATATTATTTGAAATGTGGAAGTTGTACAAAATAATCGACCAAACTAGCGAGTAAATAATTTAGTCAGCTTCACAACGTTTCAATCATGTGATTGTGGTCCTTTTCAAGGGAAAACTAAACGAAACGTCGTGAAACTGAATAAATTACTTACTCGCTAGTTTGGTCGATTGTTTTTTACAATTCCGATTGAAATACTAATAACTGTTATTAATAATTGGAAATTTATTATTTGAAATATTTCGTTATATATTTCTGATTGTTAAAAAATCTCATAAAATATCCTAAAAAAATATATTATATATATAATACTAATATATAAATATATTAAATATATTAATATATAAATATATTAAAAATATAATATATAAATATATTAATATATATTAAATATAAAATATAATATATATATATATATATACATATTAAATATATTAATATATAGAGATATATATAGATATATATAGATACATATTAAATATATTAATATATAAATATATTAAAAATATAATATATAAATATATTAAAAATATAATATATAAATATATTATAATAATATATATTAAATATATTAATATATATATATATGTAGGCGTATCTTTTATCTAATATCGAATATATCAGTTAATTATTGATTAAGGAAATGTAGGAGTGCAGGAGAAGGCCGGATTAATTTTGTTGACTCAGGAAAAGAAGTCAGGTTCGGAAGATATATATATATATGTTTATTGCGAGTCAGAAACGTCTTCGCTGTCCAAGTTCCGGTTCTACTCTGTCTTCCTTCCGCCGCCTCGATATGAAGGATTGTCTGCCGGTTCGTGAGAGAATGCGTGCTTGTGTCTCGATAAAACGTCCCGAAGATGATGTTCTCAACTGTGATCTGTCCCGATTCCCAAAAAGTCGGCATATTTATACCCGGTGTTAAAACCTTCCCTACCCGAAACATCGGACCAATCAGAATTACCTTTGTTCATCGCGCAGAACTGTGTTTTCGGTTTTCTCGACAAACAAAGGATCGCTCAGAACGCTTTCAATAATAAATATTACAAATAAATAAGTACCCGGCACGAGGTCGACAAACAAAACACGTAAATCAGCTAATCTCATCGTCGGTTAACGTCTTTATACAAAAAATGCCTACAGCTCGGCCATCCTGACTTTTTGACCGTCCCGGTCAACGTTATTACCAAAATTACAATACGCAATAAATAAAATTCCTTTACCAAATAATATATAATCATGCTCGAATATACGGGTGCATTTGATCCGTCGCAAATTAGATCACGTCTCGTTTTTTTTCTTTTGCGCTTCGTCAATATTTGTCTGAGGTTTATCTCGTATCGAGGTCGCGCTACGGATAATCGCTCACCTTAATTGGATCGCGTAATAGATCGCTCGCATCACCTCGCTGCTCAATTTTTTACCATCGGAATTATCATTCTATCATATTTTCCACCCGTCCGTTTGCCCTCGGCGTGCCCACAGCAATTGATACGTGCTCTATAGCACCGGATCCCAAATATCTCTCAAATATGTCAGATTTAACACAAGTTCCTCTGTTCGAAATTGAACGTCTCGATTTACCATACGCGCAGAAATATTTAAAGAGATACTCTACCGATTCCTCCGATGCTGTTGACTTACGCGGGTAGAGCCGGATAAATTTAGCGAACACGTCGATGACGACAAACAGGTGACGCCCAAACTTGAAAACAGAGTTTTTTCGAATAAAATTGTACAATGATTTTGCCACCAATAAAAATCTCGGCATAGATCGATGAAAATGACTCGCGAGTCCGACGAACCTATGTACGTCCCTGATGTTACATGGCACCGGATCATTCAACGCAGACTCTATATTCTCATCGCTCGGTCGTTCGTGTTTTAATGCGATAACCATCTCGAAGTCCGGCGCGCATTTCTCCGCTCGAAAATTACTTAGATAACGAGATTCATAGATCTCGCGAATCTTCTCGGCCGCATCCTTGTCAACCGCCGGATTAATTTTCAATTCTTCGCTCGGATGTACAACACTATCGTCGCATTCAATATGCATCATTTGGCAAATGACGCGCGCTTCTTCCGTGCTTACAATTTCGAGATCTTGCCCTAAAGTAACACGCAACGACGGACAATTCAAGAAATCTCTACCGAGTAGCACACTATACGCCATCGTATTATGAGGCACCGTGTAAAACTTTATTTTCAAACGCACGCCTCTCACCTCTAAGTCGGCGTGAACGATGCCGTCGATATTTAACCGCGAGCCGTTGATTCCGCAAAATTGATCGATGCTCTCGTTCTCGAGCAGACGTGAATCGCCCTGAATTATATCGCTTTTCACCAAACTAATCGGAGAACCCGAATCTATCAACGCGTCTACCACATAATTATCAAACCCGTTATTTTCATTTTTAGTCCTGATTTTCACCGTAATCATGTATGGTTTTAGTAACGCAACCGGTTGCACGACATTCATCGACGTAGTTTGCGCAACGCTGTTCGGCGTTTCCGACGCCGCGGACCGATTTCGCTTCGGACATTCTCTGGCGAAATGGTCCGGAGATTCGCACACGTAACACGCTCGCTTCGCTTGCGGTCGCACACACTGGGCCGCGGTATGGCCTGTTTCACGACACTTATAACACCTCGTCGGGCCTTCCCGCGTCGCCGCCTCTGCTCTGACTCCGCTGGTTGTCCTCACTCCGTCTCTCCCTGGCCGGACGTCTGGTCTCTTTGGATTCCCTCGGACCACCTTCTCGAACGCCTTCAATAATTCTCTTCCGGATTGGAAGTTCATCAGGCGCGCCTGACTCTGCAGCCGAGGATCCGTCACTCCTTCGATGATGTAATCGAGGAGCTCGTCTTCCGCGATTGGTACGCGATTTGCGAGAATCACCTTTTCGTGGTAATAATCGCAGAATTGCTCGTCTCCTTTCCACACACGAGCCTCGAATTCTCTCCTCAGTGTCAGCTTTCCTGGCCGCAGGTCGAACATCGACTCCATTTCCCGCAGAAGGTCCTCCAGGTCCAGCGTCACATACTCGGCCTTGGAGTAGAACCACGTCAACGCACGACCTTTCAACCGAGAGCTAATTAATACTCTCGCTGAATTCTCGTCCAACTGGTACGTGCGTCTCAGCAGCTCCAACTGCTGCCTCCATCTCCAAAAGGTGCTGTCCGTCGCGTCAAACTCAGGCAGCAGCTCCTTGATTCCTCTCACACCGCCGAACGCAGAAATGACGCTGCCATTCGTTATCGTCGGTGTCGAGGCTGCACTCCTCATCATCTCTATTTCCCTTTGGAGCAACTGTCGCTCTCTCTCCAAAATTTCTCGCTCTCGACGCAGTAACAAGAGTTCCGCCTGCGTCGCGTCGTCGTGCTCTCTCCGTTCCGGCGTCGTCATCCTCACTCGGTCTCCTCGTCTCGGCGTATCGTCCACGGTCTCCATCTCCATGGCGTCACCCTGTTCACTGGGTGAACGCACACCTCCTGAAGCCGGGATGCCATCCGAATATCTCTCCTGCCTCCGTTGCTCGCTCAATCTCGCCCATACGCCTGAATCGTTGGCATTCAGGCGCTGGATGAGCTCGGCTTTCGACCCTCCCAAGGTCAGTCCTTTCTCGCGAAGAGCCTCCTTCATCTCAGCGATGGTGAAATCACTCGGCTGCATCGACTCCGCCATCGTTCCTCAGATTTGCTCGATCGGTTCCTCGGGCACTCCGCGATGTCCCCAACACTCGCGCAACCCAAAGATCACTATGCGTTGATCGTCTCAACCCGCGCGTCCCACACTCGACGCGTATCGCGAACTCCCGAATCGCCTCTCCCAGGCCGAATTCGCGAAACCGGGTGCAACGCCTCGATCCCACTTCTGATTTACTGTAGGCGTATCTTTTATCTAATATCGAATATATCAGTTAATTATTGATTAAGGAAATGTAGGAGTGCAGGAGAAGGCCGGATTAATTTTGTTGACTCAGGAAAAGAAGTCAGGTTCGGAAGATATATATATATATGTTTATTGCGAGTCAGAAACGTCTTCGCTGTCCAAGTTCCGGTTCTACTCTGTCTTCCTTCCGCCGCCTCGATATGAAGGATTGTCTGCCGGTTCGTGAGAGAATGCGTGCTTGTGTCTCGATAAAACGTCCCGAAGATGATGTTCTCAACTGTGATCTGTCCCGATTCCCAAAAAGTCGGCATATTTATACCCGGTGTTAAAACCTTCCCTACCCGAAACATCGGACCAATCAGAATTACCTTTGTTCATCGCGCAGAACTGTGTTTTCGGTTTTCTCGACAAACAAAGGATCGCTCAGAACGCTTTCAATAATAAATATTACAAATAAATAAGTACCCGGCACGAGGTCGACAAACAAAACACGTAAATCAGCTAATCTCATCGTCGGTTAACGTCTTTATACAAAAAATGCCTACATATATTAATATATTAATATATATTAAATATATTAATATAAAATAATGTTAATATATAAATATTAAAAATATAAAATATAAATATATTAATATATATTAAATATATTAATATATAAAAATATTAATATATAATAATATTGTAAGTGATAATCGAGGGTCGCGTTCAAAAAAACATAAAAACGAGCAATAAGACCTATAGATATCAAAATGAAATATACGTATATATCGACTTCTTTCGCCCGTGACATATCCAAGTTTCGTGACTGCATTCAAAGAAATATAGCCATCGAATCTACATAAAACGCAAAAAGTACCGCCATACATTTTCGCCACACATATACGAGAGTACACACGCGCAGGCACGCACACACACACACACACACACATACATATATCCCCAGGATATTATTACGTACGGTGATGTTACGGCCGGGCTCGTTCTCGAGCAGCTGACGCGCGATGTCTTTGCAGGAGGTACGTGCAGCAGGTGGCACCTTGCCGTCGTCCTCCCAGTAACGGCTGGCTGCATGCGCATAAAGAGCCGCCGGTGTCGCGTGTGTGACCCTGGTGGTTGTAACCAGCCCCGTCGATTTGCCTGCGAGCGGGAAAAAAATCGAATTTCATATATTTCGCCTTCGCGGTGAACTCCTTCCTTCTTCCATCTTTCTCTCCCGCTTGCTCTCCTTGTTTCCCACTGGAAGTTCCCGGCTACGTGCTTTCGTAAATCACCCCTTCGGATCCTCGCGGTCGTCCGTATCCGCGTCCGACTTTATCGCATTTAAGCGAGCTCGCGCACCGGTTTACTTGACGTAGACCCCGGAAGACAAATTTCCTCGAGTAGCGATCCCCGAGGCGAATCAGTACGATTTATCCTTCATTGGGGCCGAAGTGGATTTTCGAATGTCGAACTAGAGCTGGCACGGAGATGCGCGAGGATTATTACCGGAGAAGTCGGCCGATGTATATTATTCACGGGGAATCTCGTCGAATCGAGAGAGTATACCGCACGTTTAACGACTGGATGTGGTTGTGCGTTGCGGTGTTACTCGATCCCTCTCTCGACGAACTTAAACTCTCGACGAAGATTCGGATCCTTCAAGAACCGTGTCTCCCCGAAGAATACTTAACCTTCCCGAATGCGTTTATCGCATTACGAACTAATATTCTCACAGTTGGAGAATTTGTGTTTTCTCGGTAAAAAAAATCTCCGTTAAAATATATTAAATATTTCACACATTTATCTGTGTTAATTTAACATACCTATTGCTGTTACGTTAATTGAACTTAAATGTTAAATTATTAAAACAACTGAAAAAAACGGAATGTACACCTATTTTTAGCTTTACATAATTAATATGCTCTGTTTTCTTAGCGACAATATTTATATTCATTTTATTCTACAATATAAGTAGTGATAATGAAATGTAAAATTAACATTTTTTTTACTTAATTTTCGCATTAAAACTGTGTTAATTTTACACAAAATTTATTTCAAATTACTTAATACTTTGCATTTTTCGTGTTAAAATATCAACATACATTCTGAAAAAAATTTATTGAATTCGAATAAATATTTATTTCAATATTGTCAAATAAATTATTTATTTGAAATTAATAATATTGATTTGATATAAGAAAATCTTTTTTAAAACAAATAAAATATTTATTTATTTCAAATAAATTATTCATTTAGGAGTTATTTAAATAAATATTTATGAATTTAGTGCATTTTTCGTGTTAAAATATTACTTACATTCTGAAAAAAATTTATTGAATTCGAATAAATATTTATTTCAATACTGTCAAATAAATTATTTATTTGAAATTAATAATATTGATTTGATATAAGAAAATCTTTTTTAAAACAAATAAAATATTTATTTATTTCAAATAAATTATTCATTTAAGAATTATTTAAATAAATATTTATTAATTTAGTCATTTTTTTTAGTGTAATATTCGTGTCACCATTTAACATATCTGTATTATGTTGAATGAATACAAAAATTTCTGTGGATCGTTTGGGACCTCTAGAATCTGTTAAATTTAATAACACAAATTTTCCAACTGTGCAATTTGTTCACAATTGGGGATAAATTTTCCCTCTTAACAAACTTAAAATATTCGAAATGGAATATACAAATATTATATCTCCGAAAAAATAATTGTTCAATTATATGTAACCAAATAAAATAAATTTCATGTTTTCGATATTACCTCGAGATATTTAGATATACGCGAGGAATGGAAATGGTGATTAATAATAAAAGTAGCGGAGAACAATGTTTGATAACTCAATTGAAGAATTGAATGGGTGCAGAATTGGATCCTCAACCCGTGAGATCGCATTTTAATTACAGTAGCATTCGCAGTGATCTTGCCAGCCGTCTCGGGGATTTGCCTCAGCCCGCGAACGAGCTAAGGAATTAAGTTGGCACGCAGGATTCGCTCTCTGGCAAACGTGTGCAACGCGTTGCCAGAGGCCAGTAATTACGAGAGTGGCACTAGTGCCGGCTGGTTCGATGCTAATCAACCTGAGTGTAATGATGCGTGGTTCTCCATTAAAGGTACGCCGAAGGATCCTTTGATCTCGATATCTCGGCCTGAAATTATTACCATATTGTCCGTTCGACCTGCGCTACAGCTTAATTCTCTGCATCGGAATGGAAAATTCTACGCAATGCATAGAAAATTATAGGAAAAGAACATTATAAAAGTTAGGAGAGATTAATGAAAAAATTTTTTTTTTAATTAAACTGGCTTATAACAATGTGAGAATATATAGATTTTCATGCAAAAATTTTACCGCCACTTTTCTCTTTAGAATCTTTAAAGATTCGAAGCCCGATTTTCCTCTTTGTAACAAAAATTGAATAAAATAAATTATTGTATAGAATATTATTTAATTATATGTTTGATTTAGGTTTAGTCTCTCATAACTCGTCTAAGAGTCTTGACGTGTTGTCAAACCGACACTATATTCGTTCTTGACATCTTAAAATTTTAATTTTATTTTTATTTTCACAAGTATGTTTCGCTTTTTATTATTTTGTAATATTGTTAAATGAATTAATTTTTTTATTGTATTAATCTCTGTACATATATCTAGATCACTTGATAAGGATTCAAAGAAGGGTCGAAACGTCGTGATTTAATAAATAATATTTGCCAGTACGGTCGAGAGAAGAGTGTTACTTTTTTAAATTCTGTCTGGCGATTCTCAAATATCTACGTTTTTATTATTTAATTATATTAGCATCTCTTGTTTCGCAAAATTAAAACATTTTGGCACGTTGAGCTTTTAATAATGGCGTAAGTATTGCAGAACTTTGTTCCTTCGTTAACTTCCACTTTGCTTTAAGAGGAATTTAATTTGAGGCTTAACTGCCGAGTTATCCAAAGTTTCAAATTGAAAAGTTGTGAAAACAGATGGCGTTTCAATCGATTTTTTGCGAGAAAAGTTTTGAAAATCGGTCCTTGACTTATATTCGAAGAATGTAAGAAACCCAGAAGAACGGGCTCGTTCGCTCTTAAAGAAGGCGCAAAAAAAAAAAGAAAACTCAGTCCAGGCGATCGATCTTTTTTACGCGTGCCTATAAATTTCACCGAGAAGAGAAACGAAGACGTCCTACATCAGGATCGCGAGAGGTCCGTAAATATTCCTGCGGAGGATCATTCGCCGGAGATCCCTTGGCGGTCCGTTTCCAATTCGTTCTCCAATTCCTTCTCCCGCGAAACGTCCGATTCCATAGGTTGCGCACGATTTGAGATAATAATTCAAGGAGTTTCGGAGTTCCCGAGGTGAGAATTGGCGGAACTCTCGATTCGCCTCTCAAGATGCACGAAATCGACCGTAATAACTCGCGAGGACATCCCTAATTTACCCCTAAAACGCTTCTCAATCTTTAAATTGCAGGGCAAAATTGTTCAGAATCTCTGGATTTAAACACTATAGACACTTTATTAATTTACACAGTAGAAAAATTTGTGTTTTCTTGTTAAAAACGGTCCCCGTTAAAATTTTCGTGATTCTAAATATTTAACACATTCATTACCGTTCTGCTAATTGAACATAAATATTAAATTATTAAAACAACTGAAAAAGATGTAAAAATAACACAACGTCCATCTATTTTTAATTTTACACGATAAATATGTTCTGCTTTATTAGTGACAAGATTTATCTGTTAAAATTTACAGGAAAAAATGTTGATTTTCTACATTAATTTTTACATTAAAAGTATGTTAATTTTACACAAAATTAAAATATTAACTTAATATTTGTGTCTCCATTTAACATATTCATATTATGTTAAATTAACAGAAAAATTTTTTAAATATTATAATTTATAAATATGTTCTACTTTATTAGTGACAAGATTTATCTGTTAAAATTTACAGAAAAAAATGTTGGTTTTCTATTTTATAATATAATTGGGGATAATAAAATCTAAAATTAACATATTTTTTTATTAATTTTTACATTAAAAGTATATTAATTTTACAAAAAATTTATTTTAAATTATTTGAAGTTTTGCATTTATTTTGTGTTAAAATATTGACACAAATATTGTGTCTCCATTTAACATATCTATATTATGTTAAATTAACAGAAAAATTTCTATAAACCGTTTGGGATATCTGTTAAATTTAACAGAAATTTTTCAACTGTATATGTAAACTATAGACACTACAGACACTTTATTAATTTAATAGTGTGTGATCCAATAATATTTAAACATATCGTATACTTTACAATAATTTTGCGACAATAAATTAATAAGCACAATAAATAAAATAAAAAATATAAGAAAAGGTTCTATTATAAAATTGTGTTTTCTTATACTCTCATCTATCTTATAATTTATTCTCTTCCCAAGGTTTATTTTATATTTCTTATTTCAAGAGAGCAAAAAAAACATTATTCCTCGAGTGATAAATAATCATATCGTTCATTTTCAATCCTGCGATAGCCTCTGCTAATCCATCATTATTTTTCCGTCCCCATTTATTTTTCATCCCCTACTCGTTCTCGCTCGTTTAACTTTTATTTCATAATCTCTCCGCGCTTCTCCTTATTTCACTATTCCCGAATGATAGATAATCCTGTCGTTCACTCGCTCTTTCTCTCGAGTATCCTAGTACAGTTCCGCTATTATCCCGCCATCGATTTTTAATTCCCTACCCCTCGTTCATTCTCCACGTCGAATTTCCGCGGCGCGTTCCGTGTATCATCTCGTCGCGTCGGGCTGAAGAATGCGTGACAAACCACCGACGTAGGCGACGTAGGAGCGAAAAAGCCACGGGCCGGCGCGGCGATCCGGAGGTGTCGCCGGCGCGGCGATCCAAAGGTGTCACCGGCAAACGGCGCGCGATTAATCAGCCTGGCCATTCATCTTAATGATCGCGCCGAAGCAAGCTCGTCCTTTCATCGCGCGCGCGTTTCGCAGGAGAGCACACGTGCATATATGTATATATACAAACATACGTACGTGCATGCATCTGCCAGACCGGTCTTGGCAATGTGTCAACTATTCGAAAACACAATGCCGCGCTGTTTGTTACCCCGAGATGCCGAGGGTCCTGTCGCGACACATTGCGATATCGTATAAGGAAGAAACCACCTCGAAATCTCCCGCGTGATCTCGATAATCCGACCAGCCAGATGACGTCCGTAATTGGCAAAAAAGTTCGCGCGTTTCCCGATTTCAGTGAGAATAACGTTATTATCCCGAGGGGTCTTTCGAGAGGTTTTTCGTGGAATTTTTCCGCGAAAGAAGAATACCGCAAACCGCAACGAACTATAGTTTTCGAGGTATCGATTTTTAAAAGCAATTATAGACACACAGAGAGACTTTTCCTTTGAACTGACCTATAAAAAACGTGGTAGTTGCGAGACAACATTGGGATTTTATATATGAAAGAATTTTAGAGAGAGATTCTCTAATTAATATCTACCGCAATAAAAAATATTAACATCTACCATAAGAAAATATCAAATATACTAAATATACATATAATGAAATTTTAATAATTTTTAAATATAGTTGGAAATTAATTTTGATTCTTTAAATATTTGAAGTAGAATAGATAGAGATTAAAAAAGAAGTAAAAATGTATATACAATTTTAATTGCTCATGATAACGTTAACACGCAGCATGATAATTTTCGACTTATTACCAAACATGATAATTGTAGTAAATTTTGCGTAAAATATAACGAAAAATTTCTCCGTGTATGTACAAGAAATAATATATATTTGATGAGATAATTTAGTGTTATTATTACCTATCATGTGTATATTTATATCTATTATACATATATAAAGTAAAAACAATAATTCAAACCCACTTCTGATTAAATTAAAATTAGATTTGTCATATAAAAAAATTTAATAAAAAGATCTTTATAAAAAATAAAAATGACTGACCTCTTGCCAACAATTATGAAATGTCAATATATAAAAAAATTTTTTTTAATACATCTATATCTCGAAAGCAATTGATCGTAGTGTGCGATATTCTTTTTCTCGCAAAAAAATCGATCACACTGAGAGGTCCCGGAAATAACATTCTTCCTCGGATTTCTTTTCTCGTCAGCGAGTAACTAAAAATATCTATTTATTCTCTCGAGAAGGAACTGTGAGACCAAAGTAATAACAATATCTATATATATACGAGAGTAAAGAATCAAAATTAATTTCCAACTATATTTAAAAATTATTAAAATTTCATTATATGTATATATACTCGTATATCACGTAATTAACGGGACGCTCTTGTCGCTCCAAATTTATAATGCGCGCGCACAGCTGTATATATATTCTGATATTTATTATTTATTCAATGCGAGGAAGAGAGAGACAGAGACAGAAATTCTCACGAACATCTGCGCACCGTCTCGTGCGCGCGGGAGCAAGAAATTGCGTTACAACCAGATTACAAGCGTGCTCGCTCGCGCATCGCTTTTTGCAGTGACCGACCATCGTAAACAACCGTAAGCAATTACTAATGACTCGCAGGAGCGGGAGGGTAACTCCCGGGGATGTAACGTTAATTCGCCGCCATCGCCAGCACGACCGCTCATAAACTTACGATTTCGCGGTAAAAGCAATTACAACGGCATCGCCGATAATTACCTCTGCAATAAACTCACCCCGCGATAGACCTACGCGACGTGGAGATGTATCGCATGTATATATATTTTGTATATATACATATATATATATATATATATATATATATAATATATATATATTTTATATATATATATATATATATATATATATATATATATAATATATATATATATATATATTTAATATATATATTGCGAGACTAATATATATATATATATATTAGTCTCGCAACAGAGTTTCAGTTTTACGACGTACGTTTTAGCGATGTAATAAAACCCGACCCCGTTATGGCCTTCGTTATACAATCGTGCGTTTTATCCAATTCGCGAACGACACTGTTTAACGACGACGGTTCTTCGCTGTCCGACGTTGTGTCGTGAACAACGCTTTTCTCTAATTGCATTTTCCATCTCCCTCATCAGCGTAAGACATGATCGAATATTTCTCCTTTGATATTTTATATATATGCGCAGCTAAAAAATTTCGGTTTAATTTGACAGGTATCACATGTCCCAAACGGTCCATAGAAATTTTTGTGTTCATTTAACATAATATGGATATATTAAATGGAGACACAAATATTGTGTTAATGTTTTAACACAAAATAAATGCAAAACTTCAAATAATTTGAAATAAATTTTGTGTAAAATTAACAATTTTAATGTATAAATTAATAAAAAATATGTTAATTTTAGATTTTATCATCCCCACTTATATTATAAAATAGAAAATCAACATTTGACAGAAAATCTTGTCACTAATAAAGCAGAACATATTTATTGCGTAAAATTAAAAATAGATGCACATTGTGTTATTTTAACATTTTTTCAGTTCTTTTAATAATTTAACATTAGAGTTCAATTAGCAGAATAGTAATATGTTAAATTAACACATAAATGTGTTAAATATTTAACACAAAAATTTTAACGGGGACCATTTTTAACAAGAAAACATAAATGTTTCTACTGTATGTATATGTATAAACGGTCTCTTTACGGCAGAGTATGCATTCGGAATTCCTGATATCGCAGCTAAATTGATTATATATGAGAGGAGATTATAGTCTTCTATTAGATAATATGCATATATAAATTATATTGAGCATCGTACTCGTATGCACACAATAAACGTACTAATTTATGTATCTCTTTGTCAGTGCATTCGAATATTTTGAATTTTTAATTCTTTGAGATTTCGATTCTCATATAATAGTATTTTTCATTTATAGAATAATTGCAAGTAGTAGTTTGTCGAAACTTGACAAGATTTTTCTTAGCAAAAATGTCTGATTAAATGACCAATTTAAGAAAAATTTGTAACAAATTGCCTTCAAGTTAAAAATAAAATCTTATTGTTTGATTATAATTTTAAGATTAACAGCATCTTCATTTAAAGCTGTTGCGCTATTTCTAATACTAATATTTTAATTATTAATATTAGTATTAAAATATAATGGCAAATATAAGAGACAACTAGTTACATTCATTTAAAGAATTATTTTAATTAAAAAAAAAATAATTCCTAGAATAAATTATTCAGAGGGATGCATTAAAATCTTAAATAAATTATTCGATTACCGTCAACAAAATCTTTACTTAAAATGCACATACATACTCTCTCATAAATATATCTAATATCAATATATTAGAAAATTATAACGCGCGATAGATAATGCTTTAATTAAGTTTACTGACAAAAATGTAATTTACGAAAGAAAATATGATCGCATAAAAAAAAATCAATTACCAAATGTTCATATTGTCGAACGCTGTATCTAAACAGATCCTTAATTAAACCCCGATGATTCATTTAAAATGCGTATCGGCGCATCGATTGCACAATAATTGAGCTTCAATTAATTGATTCTCCCAATATTTCTATACTTAACCGAAAGAAACATTAATTAATGCGCGATTCGCGCGTGTATAAATTGCGCGGCAAGTCGTAAACACGCAAGTTTTATTATACCAACCCTCCGAAGCGTTGAGGCATGAAACTGCGAAAGTTCGACATCCACCACCTCGTCCGGAATATTCTCGCGTGTTACGAGGCGAGTTAATAAACAGCACATGAAATCTCCCATTTAGGCGAGTCGCTCTAGCTTGTGCAATTAGCGCCGCTCGTAAATTAGATATCGGCTTCCGGTCAAGCGCCGATGCGCGCCAAGAATACGATGTGCACCGCATGCGAGCGCGAATTCAATTTATACACGGTGGGCATTTAATCGCGCCCCCTCCCTCAACCCCCTGTTTGGGCAGTTTAATCGTTTTAACGCCCGTCCCCGAGCAAATTGGATGTATGCGCGGATTAATTACGTTTGCTCATAATAACGAGATCGCGGGACCGTAAACGTCGCGCAATGAATTTCAGCAGGAAGTAACGATCTGATTAAAAAGATTAATCTGCGTCCGTCAACCCTCTTTTTGTTTAATGACAAATCGATAACGGCCTTTCAGCCGTATCTATGCATTTCAATTCTATTTCACAATAAATACGTCTGTGTCGTCGTTGTTATGTAAATTATTCCTGATCCATTAAACGAATCAATAATATAGTTATATATACGATTCAAGTTTTTTTATTGAAATAATTTCTTTGAATCTTGATTAGTTGTCTCTTACATCTCACATTATTTATTTCTAAAATACTAATATCAATTAATGCTAATATTAATATACACTAATATTAATTAATTAAAATACTATAAGAAATAATAAGAAAAAGCTGACAAGCTTTAAATGAAGATGCTGTTAATTTAAAAATTATAATTACAGACGATGAGATTTCATTATTAATTTAAAGATAATTTATCAGTTTTATTTCTTAAATTGCCATTTAATTAGATATTTTTTCGTTAAGAAAAATCTTATTAATTTTTTACCACCATATTGAAAAAAATTTATTGAATAGAGAAAAATATTAATTTTATATAAAAAAACTCTTTTCAAAACAGATAAATATTTATTTGTTAAATGTATTTAAATAAATGATTTATTAGGCAATATTGAAATAATAAATAATTTTTTTTCAGTGTAAACTACTATATCGCAATACTTTCTGTATCAAAATGCAATTGCACGCTCATATATACTGCTCAAAAATGCAGCGATGCAATTAATGAAAATTTGTAAATACTCTCTTCCTTTGTAGCGCTATAAACATTAATTCCTTACGGTATCGAGCGCAGAGACTCACCTTGATCCTGGGCCCAATTAATAAGGGAAGGAACGCGCGCCTCGGAACTGGAGTAACAATCCTCGAAGCGCGCCGACGAATCCAGACCAACGGTCTCGTAATTGGCTTTAACTCCGCAGAGAAGTGCCGTCGCGCATGCCGACGATTCGCCAACTTGGGCATCCGTGTTGTACGTCTGGAAAACAAGATAACGACGATTAATTACGTATTTTCGCGTAATCGAATTACGACCATTTAATACGGATTCGTGACTCGAGGAACGCTCTTATTATATTTTTGCAACAAAAAGTTTCTCAATTAATATATAACTCTTACATGTTTTTTTTTTTTTTTTTTCAATGAATTCTGTTAACATAGAATTAATTCAAAGTATACATAAAAAATACGATTTTGTTATCTGTTTATATTCGCGAAACTCGATCGCTTTTAACGAAGGCGGAAACTTCTAAGAATATTTTAAGATTATTTTTCATTTATTGTGGTTTCTGACAGCTGCATTAAATCTAGAAAAATAAATTTAAAAAAGCAAGAAGAGAGGGAAGTTTACTACAAGAATCTTTCGCGCAATTTCGTGGCTGTTAAGAAGATGCTGGCCAAATATGTTTTATCCATCGAAAAAATGAGATTCGACTATAAATCTATTTATTAACTATACGGATTGTTTATTCTTGAAATTATGAACCCACCCCCTATTTGTTAATATTAATACTTCAATTGTGCAAAAGGATTTATCAATCTGTATAGTCAATCAAAACTTGAACTCACAATATTATAAGTTCAAGTACCCGTATTTTGATTGACCATACATAGATTGATATATCCTTTTGCACAATTAAAGTATTAATATTAACAAATGGGGGGCTCAAAATTTCAAGTAATAAACAATCCGTACAGCCAATAAATAGATTTATAGTCGAATCTAACTTCACTTTTTCGATCGATAAAACAGATTTGTTCAGCATCCCCTTAAGTCGACACTTAACTCGCGAATGTCCTGCCGAATTCAGGCAGATTTCACACACCTGCGATACATCGCATATTCTATAACACTCAAGACGCCGCAATTCCGTTGCTTACTCGTGGTTAATATAACCGCGGTCACGTAAATAAACCAATACCATGCATCAAGTCCCGCGACGCGACGTCAGGAACATCGAGGGAGGAATGATAAGATGCTAAGGTAAAGAGAAATTCTCACGTAAGTGGACACCGCGACAATGTGTCATGACTGGCGATTTTCTACGGGTAACAGAGGTTGACAGCGGGGACGTCGAGGATCGAAGGACGAGAGAAAACGCATAGAAACCGCACGTCGCACCCATAGGATAAGCACTGCAACGAGAGAGGGCGAGTGGCACATTTTCCTGCGGTTTCGTTCACCTCGAGCGCGCCTCTTTCGCGGAAACGACAGCTGTACTCTATTACCGCTGACTATGAAAATCGCGGATTTCTGATATTTCGCGGAAAATTAACGAAAACGTCGACTTGTGACGCGAACGATATTTCGATGTGAATTTTTAACGAAAAAAATATTCAATAACGAGCTAGATTTTTTAGGATTTTTATTATAATGACATTGATGAATAATTTATTGCTAATTTATACTATTTTAATTTTTAATATATTCGCTGAAGAAGGTTGAAAAAGACAACCGAAACGTACGACGAATCGAATTTACTTCTGTATAATATTTAATAATTTATGTTATAAATCTTTTCACAAATATAATTCTATTATAGAACTTATCTAGCTCTTATTGCCTTTTATTTGTTGATTAAAAATTTTCTAAAGAGCTGTTACAAATTATATTGTTTAGGATGTTTAGAAATCACGTAGTAAGTTATTTGTGTTTTATTTGTCTAATAAAAATTTTTTTAACATCTTAAACAACCTAGCTCGTTAAGTTGGTCTATTATTGATTAGTTGATTTTAAATTTACATGAGCCTAATTTATTTTTTAATTAAATATTATTACTATTAATCATGGGCGTCCGCCCTTGGAATCGGTAAAAAAATTAAGCATTTGCTCTCCTTTTGAATAAACTAAAATTTATTTGCATATTTAATATAAGAAAAAGATAGTAAGACAAAATGACAGAAAAAATAAATTTAAAAAAATTAAAAATCAAGGAAAATAAATTAATGTCTCTTGGAAAAAATCTTAATATACTGCTGACATCCGGTAATTTTCTTCATGTTCGCTTGTACGTATGTACATATCCCTGCCTTCCTTGATAGGCAACCGATTGATTCGCTCAAGTGTGCGTTTCCCTACTTCGGAACGACCAGACGACGATTTCCCGACAACATCGGCCGGGAAATGTCGATTCCCGCTCGCGCAAGAACACCCATAAAGCACACTCGTCATTATCATACTGAAAGCCATGCATCGCCAATTCAAATACCGTTGTGGATTAACCGCAGAATCATACGACACGGTCGATCGTCAAGTGGCGGTAGAAGTAGAATACGCCCGAAATGCAGGATGCTCGTATATGTCAGCAAATACACACACACACACAGACACACACACACACACACATATATATATATATGTTATGTTCATTCGATATTCTCGGTATAAAACTGTGAGAAGAAGAGAGAACAAAACGCGGTTGTTGATCTTTGACGACAGAAAAGACGATAGAAAAGCGAAAGACGTGATGGCTCAAAAGAAAAAAAAATAAGAGGGAAAAAATTGCCTGCGAGAGATATTTCGCGTTCCTGAAATTTTACAGTTGGATTTTTCCACGTCTCGCGAATATTTGAGATTTAATCGACGATTTTCCTATCTCAACCATTTCAAGAGAAAATATGTACGATAATGAGAAATCGTAACATTTTAAAAATCGCAAATGATATTAATGACAATACGAATTATAGTACGTTCGATTAGCATTATGAAAGTTAATGAAATTTAAACGAGATTGAAACCGTTTATCAAAACATTCATTTTTGGATTACATGTACGTGGAAAATATTTAATAATTATTAATTAATAATTATAATAGATTTGAAAATTAATATACTTTTAATATTACGTAATTAATAATATTATATAAAATGTACATCCAAAAAAAGTTTACTTTTATTAGTATCAAGCAAATTTATATGACTTGTATGTGATGCCCATTTTTATTCATATAAAATGAAATGAATCAAAGTATCTACTTGAGATTTCGTAAAACATTAAAGTATTAACGTGAATTATTATTTATACACAGTAGAAAAATTTGTGTTTTGTTAAGAAAGATCCCGTTAAAATCTATTAAATATTTAACACATTTATCTGTTAATTTCACATATTGCTGTTGTGTTAATTGAACTTAAATGTTAAATTATTAAAACAACTGAAAAAAATGTAAAAATTACATAATGTGTATCTATTTTTAATTTATACAATAAAAAAGTAAAACTCTTCTCTCGACCGTACTGGCAAATATTATTTATTAAATCACAACGTTTCGACCCTTCTTTGAGTCCTAATCAAGTGATTTGTGAAAATAAAAATAAAATTGAGTTTTACTTTTTTAAATTCTGTCTGGCGATTCTCAAATATCTACGTTTTTATTTTTTATACAATAAATATGTCTTGCTTTATTATAGTGAAAAGATTTATTTGTTAAAAATTTACAGAAAAAATTAACCCATTTTTAGTTAATTTTGACATTAAAACTATGTTAATTTTACATAAAATTTATTTTAAATTCTTTGAATCGTTTTGCATTTATTTTGTATTAAAATATTCACACAACATTCGTGTCACCATTTAATATATCCACATTATATTAAATTAAGACAAAAATTTCTGTAGACCGTTTGGGACACGTGATATCTGTTAAATTGAACACAAATTTTTCAACCGTGTATGTTATAGCACGTCTCTTATCGATACGAGAAATGCTAACACATCTCGCGTGCGACTGATATATTAAAAAAATTCTATCGATCGACAAGGTACGAAAATTTCCCTCGTGTGCCACGCATTTGCCATTCGATGTAACACGTGACCAGGGACATTCACGGTATCCTCGGAGAGGTCGCAAAAAGCGCTCGTCGATATCCAAAATCCGTGCAACGGTATGCGTTATGCAGCGATATCGGGGCAGGGTTAAACGCTCTCGATAGGCACGGAGATGCTATAGATTATCGTGCTGGCATTATCGCCGGCGACGTTTTTATCGGGCGTTTCCGCGACGAGGCACGTCGATAAGATAAATTTGGAGCACGAAGCGCGCCTCCATCTCTCTCTCTCTCTCCAACCGCAGGCGAGAACGAGCGACGCGACGGTGAACCGCAGATCGTGGAATCGTTAAGAGAGAGATTTCCGGGGTCGGATCACACGGATGGAGACGGACAACGCAGGGCGCATCTCTGATTGCGAGCGGAACGACGTTCGGCAGCGAGACGTCTCGGATGTTCCGGACACGTCGCGATGGAGCGTGCCGGACGGATGGCCGTTCAGGAAAGCAAGGTAAGCATCGCACAGTCACGTCATATAAAGGCCGATAAACAGCCTCGAGATATGTCGAGATGTATCGCTGTCGGGAAAGTAAACGCGCGCTAATATTGGCCGCTAAAAGGCTTTTTCTGGGACTTTTTTACACTTCCTCTTGTATAATATGTGTGTTTTTTTTCCTTCAAAGTAAAGTTACTTTATGAAAAAAATATGTGGAAACTTGAACTTTATTAGAAAATTATTAATTGTTCAAAAAATGTTTTTCTTAATAAATTAAATTAAAAAAAAATACCAATGTATATTTTATGACTACACATTCTTTGAACTTATTAATCATTCTCATAGAGGAAGCTTAACTTGCACATTGATTGATAAAAATTTAATTTCACTCATTAAGATTCCTCTATGAGGAAGCAAAATTATTATCTTCTTTCAATTATTGCTTCCTCATAGAGGAATCTTAATGAGTAAAATTAAATTTTTATCAATCAATGTGCAAGTTAAGCTTCCTCTATGAGAATGATTAATAAGTTCAAAGAATGTGTAGTCATAAAATATATTTGTTTAATTTGGTATTTTTTTAAATTTAATTTATTAAGAAAAAATTTTTTGAAAAATTAATAATTTAGTAAAATTAAATTTTGATCAATCAATGTGCAAGTTAAGCTTCCTCTATGAGGAAGCCATAATTGAATTAATATGGGGAAGAAGCAATGTGCAATTTTTTTTCCATCAAAGCAAATAACATCTAAGTTTGTAAATGTTTTTTTTTTATTTTGCAAGAGTTTTTCGCGACGCATTTTTACTACATTGTTTAAATGAAGTATTTCGAAAGAGATAATTGTGTCTCTCTCCCTCGTGGTTTGTTTTTCCACACCGTAGGTAGAGAAATGTAATTAGCTATGTTTTGATATTTTTAAAAACTCGCTGCAACTTTCTTCTATTATTTACGTATTTTGTTATCTTACGTTTTACTCGCAAATGTAAATGCGAGTTTTAATAAGATTGGAATTTTTTTTTAATTCTTTTTATTTCCACTTTTTTTTTTATTCTAATCCATCCTTCATTCAGCATAAATTAAATATTACGGTGGCATTCATATGCATATTTTATATCCTACATATTGTATGTAATATGTGATTCGCTCTCTCGCAATATTTATTTTTCCAACTCTGTACTATTGTTCTTTCTCGCAAAAAAAAAATATCACTTTTCAGTGCAAAAACAATATCTCTCGCTTTAAGACTTTCATTGTCATTTCTCGCAAACAAAGATCGCCTTTCGATAATGATCGATGTTCCAATCGCGATTATCGCTCGCGCGATAAGAGAAAACCGCATTACGAAGTGTCTTTATCTCTACTTAAAAAAAAAAACAGAGTATTATTTTTTCTTTCTCTTTTATCTCAAAATCTCGTATACACAAATAAAAGCGATTGGCGCATTATGTATATTTGTCCTCCTTTTATCGAGATTTCCTGCACACACACAAACACACGTAAAAACGATACTCGGTGGCTCTCTGACGCGATTATTGTTGCAGCCGCGCATATAATGCACGGTCGATGCAATTGTCGGATGCCAGAGTTGAGGCTGCGCGGGAGAAGGAGGAAATTTATATTCATAATACCCAGTTGTTGTGTGCGGTTGGGATATGGGGACAGAAAAAGAGAGAGAGAGAAGGGATCTCCGTTAGGCGCAAAATGTTTTAGAGGTCAAAGTAAATGCCGCCGCGAGTCCGTAGTATAATGCCGGTAACTCACTTCTCTCCCACGACGAACATTTGTCTCGTAATGGCCACCGGCTCACCACGTTTATAACTAGTTCGTAAGCGCCCAACCGTGGTTTTGTCACATCCGTTCTCTCCCGGCTAGTCCTGTTCCCGGCATATTTCGAGTATTCGCGGCCGAATGTGTATGTGGGCGTGCGTGTGTCATTTTCTCATTGTGTCCAACATGGTACGAGAGCCTCTCGTTCAGCGCTATATATATATTGCATTCTTTTTTCATTTTTATTTTACCTCTTCAACCCTAACAATTTTGAAGGTTCTATCACTTCGGTATGTCGCACTTTTTTTGATAACGCGATCCTTAACGAGATTAATTCTACGTACAAATGTATAGCGTACGATATGAACTTCACCTTTTTGTGATTTTTAATGTTTATAATTTTTTTTTAATATATTTATATAGATTTAAAAAAATTATTTTTTAAATATATTTATAAGTATTTTTATGAATTATATAAACTAATATATAATTAATATGTATAATATTTTTTGTACATTTTTGTATTCTATTTTATACAACTTTTTATATTATATTAAATTTTTTTATATTTATGTTCAATCACTTCGGTATGTCGCACTTTTTTTTTGATAACGCGGTTCTTAACGAGATTAATTCTACGTACAAATGTAGCGTGCGATATATCTATGAACTTCACCTTTTTGTGATTTTTAATACTTATAATTTTTTTTTAATATATTTAGATTTAAAAAAATTATTTTTTAAATATATTTATAAGTATTTTTATGAATTATATAAACTAATATATAATTAATATGTATAATATTTTTTGTACATTTTTATATTCTATTTTATACAACTTTTTATATTATATTAAATGTTTTAAAATTTAATTTTTTTATATTATGTTATATATTATATTTTATATTACATATTTTTTGTACAACCTTTTAACACAGAAAAGGAAATTCTATAGCGCGCTGTTGATGAACTCTGTTATATATATACTCTTTCGGATTGAAACGGTGAAGGATGCAATGGTGCGCGAGATAAAAAATTTCTGCATCATCAATCTAACGGCAATAAAGTAAAAGCGTTTCGACAAAACCCATGATAATACGAGCTACATTTATACGTAGGACAGAACGCACAGTGAAACGCATATTTGGGACCGGAATTTTGTATGTGCGCACACAACACACATATTCAACGTTACACATGTGTCACTTGTCGCGGACAAAACGTCGGGAGTATTGCTTTGTCATTCCGGTATGTGTCCTGACTAATGGCACGTATATATATATATATTATATATATATATATACAGCACAAAGAATGTTTGGTAATTCTCTGGTAAATTCGAGAAGAGAATAGCTCCTTGTCGAAAGAGAGTATATTGATTCGTCGGAAAGAATAACCGTAAAGGATTAAGGAATAACTTTTCTCTCAAACGAGAAAAAGAGAGAGAGAGGAGGAAAATTAGCCCAACAGTCCATGAATAATAAAGCCAGCGCAATTTCTTTCCGGAAAAGAATATTACAGTACTCGTAATTTATTTAATCTACGATTAATTGTGTTTCGAGCGCTCTTCGGCAAAACGTTTAATTTCTTCTTATACACGAGAGAAAGAATGATTACTCGATATAAATATAATCTTATATAAGTAATCTCAAGTATAGTTTTTCGCAAATCGAGAGGATATAAATTTAATCACCGATGCGATTTTTTATACGTTTGTAATTCCAGCAATTTCGAACTTTTAAGAGGCGCGCGCTTAAATCCCTCGCGCACGAAGTTTATAAAGGTCCAGAGGTTTACGGGTGCCCCATTCAGGGTTCAAACCCCGACAGTTCTCGCATCACCTCGCGTCATCCACCACAATATCGCCGGGTTTATTTTCCGGTGCGGCCGTAATCGCGGCAACTCTCGACTCGAAAGTTCGCGAGAGCCGCGAAAAGCCCGATAAAGCGTCGCGGAAGTTCCTTCTCTTCTCTCTCTCTCAATCGTGATCTTGTAAGTTGAAATTAAATTGCGCGATCACGGATATGATCTCTAAACATTCGTTCGTGAAGAACACGTGAGCGGAAAGTATATGACAGGGACCGGGTTCCATTTTTCTCTCTCTTTTCTACGTCTTAATATAAGAGAATGCTGGATTAGTTCTACTTTATCGATCGAAAAGTGAGGTTAGATTCGATAAAAAAAATATTTTGATTTTTAAATTTATATTTCAATTGGCTATACAGATTGATAAATCCTTTTCCACAATTAAAGTATAAATATATTAACAAACCGCGTTAGCTTATATAATTTTAGGTAATAAACGGTCTGTATAACTAATAAATAGATTTATAGTTGACTATAACTTCACTTTTCGATCGATAACACAAAACTACTCCGACATCCTCTTAAGAAGAGAAGCTTTAATATTTTTCTCGAATATAGCGGCTGCAAAGAGGCAAAACGTACCGGAAACGCTCGTTTCTCTCCATCCCCTATTTTTTTCCCTCCCTTTTTCACTCGTCGCGTCGTCCACCCTTTTATTTCTCCTCTCGCATCGCGTCGGACCATCCATTTACCGGCGACTGTCTTCGAGTTGAGATTCAGGCAGCTAGCTGCCGCCTAATTACACCGACTGTACGCGGAGACGTTGCTACTAAATACCGGTGGCATTTATTCCGTTCGCGAACGTCGCCTACTATATTCATGTTTGTGCGAGGCGTATTACGAGCTTGATGCGCGTAATTACGCGATACCGACTGTGCTTTCTCGTCTTCTTCGCGCAGATGTAGATTGCATAATCGGACAAAGAACGGAAATTAGGAGCCATCCCTAAATTATGTACGCAAAGTTTTTTAGAGATAAGATTTTTGGAAATCTAATAAAATTTTTTTCTAAAAAAAGATCATAAAATTCTCATTTTTACTCATTAATTAGTTGTCTTTCTTATATAAAAGTGTAACTCGATATTTTGGAAAAAAAACTTGTGGCACAATAGATAATATTTAAATTTCATATAACTCGTCATATTTAATCAAGTTTTTATTTCAAAAACAGGGTTAAAATATTAAAAAATCTTATTAATAATATTGTAAGAAGGATCAAAATTTTATGATCCCTTCCTTGGGGGAATAAAAAATCGTAGAAAAAAACCTTAGATAATTTAGCAATCCTTACTTGTTTTCTGTATTTTCTCAAACGCAGTTCGAATTTATTTTATTCGGAATTCATCCGTCGCGAAAAATTCCGCCGCATGGAGCAAAAGACTCGTCTTTTTAACTGGATAGTTTTTTTCCCGTTTTTACGTAAAATATTCCAGCAAATTATCACGAATTCTTTCATTAATGCCATGTTGATTTTTCTTTAACCGGGGTACCCGATGCATCAAGCGCTTTAATTTGCAGCGGAATTTCAATAAGACAAAAAGAAAGAAAGTATTATTAATGTTAATATTATAAAATTTTTTCTCGCGCGGATATAAAAACGTTTTCCATCGCGGAGAGAGAGAAAATAAAAGTACACTTAATTAAAATCTCTAAAACCAGAATATAAATAAGTGGATATATACCAGAGTTCCGTCCATTTCATTCCGCGGCTCCGTTGTGTTATTAATGACGAGAGCTACTGGATTAATTGTTTCTCGTGGAAAACGCAGCAAATTTCGTTATCCGCGATATCTCATCCAAAATCGTATATGAAAATCTCTCGAAGCTTCAAACACATTTCGACATAATAAATTTTCCGAGGTAATACAGGAAAATGCCATTTCCAACGTTAATTCATGAAATACGATTCAAAGAATTAAACACCATTTAATACTCGAGGAATAACAATATTTTACAAACTTTTCCGCGATAAGATGACACAAAGGAACGTAACGTTAGAGCTCTCGCGAACTTAATTACGGCTTGGAAAAAAAAAAGGCGACGCTAGAATCAATATCCCTTACATTTCACCCGTAGATCGCGAAACGAGTCTATCTCGTGTAATAACGCGATACTTCCTTCCGGGGTGGAAATTCCTCGCGGAAACTCCATTATTCTTCATTATCCCGACGATTTAATCCAAATGTTCGCTTAATATATTCCGATGACAGTTCACGCAGGGACTCGATCGATGCCCAAAAGGCCGTGAGAATCGATCTCGACCCGCTCGCCGAGGAATACGACATGAACCATAAGAGGAGAGGAGTGGCTCTGATACTAAACCATGTTCACTTCGAGAGCATGAACACGAGGAAGGGCTCCGTAAAGGATTCGCTAGATCTGAAGATATCATTAGGCAAGCTCGGATTCGACGTCCGGATTTACACCGATCCGACGGTCAAAGCTATCGCCGCGACCTTACAGTCGAGTAAGTATTATATACACTATCGCTCAAAAGTATCTGCCCACCCTCAATTTAAGAGAAAACTCGAACACTAAATTGTGCCTTATCTATTATCTTTCATCGATGTTTATTGTTTATGCGTTAACGGAAAATCGTTCTCAATAACTATATTATAAATATCACTTCATGACCATTAAAATGGTAAAAAAGAAAATGGAATTATCTGAAAAGAAGAGAAGCATAATTGTCGAACTTCATAAGACTGGAAACAGTAATAGACAAATTTTATAGTCATTTATAGTCATTTATATTTATAGTCGTTTATTTATAGTCATTTATAGTTATATATATTTATAGTTGTTTATTTATAATCATTTATAGTCATTTATTTATAGTCATTTATTTATAGTCATTTATTTATAGTCATTTATTTATAGTCATTTATTTATATATAGTCATTATTTATAGTCATGTGAACACAATTTACCTAGGTGGGCAAATACTTTTGAGCGGTAGTGTATATATGTACATATATATATATATGCTACACTTCCTGATAACTCTGGTATCTACGTTCAGTCATAACCGGTAGCAGTTCGTTACGTATGATCTATCTCAGATGAAAGATCAAACGGGCGGACGATGAACTGACTGGTACTGTTTCTATCTGGAATAATGAACGAAGAAACATTTTTGAAAAAAAAAAAAAAAAAATGTATAGTAACAGAAACGAAGAAAGACGCGGAGATATCATTATTTCCGTCCATTTGCAATATTGCAGACGTAACGCAACCGTGTCGTTAGCTCTCTGTACACTCTGTCGTTTCTTACTCTTTTACAACGAGCGCTTTCTTTCGTTCCCCTCGTTGTATAAAATATAAGAAGGCAATAGAGTTTTTGCAAGACGGAAGAGAAAACACGGAATGTCTCAGAATCCCCTTCCGATCTCACCTTTAATCGCGTAAGGAATTTATATTCAATTATCCCTTTGAAAAAAAAAAAGAGTTTAAAGAATATTTTTCTTCGGCGCGCGCGCTTCATATTTTCGCAATTTAATTTTCAAGTAAAAATTTCATTATAAAAGAGGTCAATCAAATATATAAGATGCCATATAATTTAATCTTAATTTGACAGATGACCGAATGTATGTCTAGAAAAAATTAAAAATGTGTCTATAGGGACCCAAAGTTTCTCGCTTGCCTAAGTGATTACTCTTCTTTAATTTTTATATAACAGCTCGCATAAAAAAAAAAAAAAAGTTTTCCGAGTAAATTGATAATAATTGCCGATGAATTCTTTGTAAAGAGCCTCGCGTAGGCAGAGATATCGAGGGATAATGATGAGCGAAGGGGTTCCCGATGAGAGAGAGACAAGTTATACAAACATTTTACAACGGAACGAGCTCATTAAATGTCTATTCGCTGCAGTGAACCGAGTTCCTTAACAAATAACTAACAAAGCAATCTCGTGAATACGGCTGCGACAGGTGCCGCGGAAAGTGGGGCGGAAAGCTCGATGATTACGGAACTTCTCTCGCTTGGGATAAGAAAAGTTCCCTCTTCTTCGCTTCACGATGCGCTCCAGCGAGCCTAAGACGTCATATTCATTTGCCGCTCTTACGGTGCTATATTCGCGTGCTTCCTGTATTATATTATACATATATCCATCCGAGCAATGTTGCTCTTATACGACGCAGAGTAATGAATGATCCGACGAAATAGAAAGCGAATAATGCAGACCCAGTTTCGCGAAGATAACTAAGAAGCTATGCTGTGAGTTATTCGATGAAAAACGTTTCTTCGATTATTGTCACAATTTTCATGTGCAAGAAATTCTGCTTATCTTTATTTTTTCATTTATACATTATTATAATAATAAAATTTTTTATCAGATAAGAAATATATGTATTTTTTATCAGATAAGAAATTTTTTGTTTTTATGTGTAAAACATATTTAAAATAAAATTATTAATAACTAAATTGATTAAAAAATTATTGATTAAATTTTTAGTTTTTTAATTTAAAACATGTTTCAAATAAAATTATTAATAATTAAATAAATTTGAAAAATTGTATTTTTAAAAATTATTTGCAATTAATACATCCTATTAATTCTACATAACAAATTAATATAATGGGACAAGTTTCTTCGATTGCATCGGAGTAAATTGAGGAAATAAGAAGAGGGAATGTGCCGAAAGTTGGCCGTACAAAAATAGCGAATTATTGTTCACTACTCTTTCGAAAGGAAGAGAGAAAGAATGGAATCGAGCTTTTCATCATCGTTCTGTTCTGTTGATATGAAGGGAACAACAGGCAGAAAACACAGTCCCAAGTCAGGAAAATCCCGTCGGATTCTTCCTCTCGCTGGCAGACTTTACACGTATTCGATTACCAAATCGAAAGTATCGGAAGAGCGTCCGTTTACTTTGGGAGAGCCGCGGCCGAACCGTGTTATAACTACGCTGTCACATAAATAAACCCGTGCGGTTTCGTATTTTGCACGACTACCTTCCCTTCCGCCAGCACTCTCAATGCTTTAATTTTGTCTGGCGGAGTTTCGAGTAAAGCCCAGGCGAAAAAGAGAGAGAGAGACCGGGAACTGGCTTTTCCTGGTTCCGCGAGTTCCGCAGACGCGTGTATCGACTGCCGAACGAGGGCCGAACTTTTCAATCGGAGGAACCTGCGTGTTTTGCGGTAGTGCTCGTTTTCTCTCCTCTATTTTTCTCTTTTTTCCTTCATCTCTTTCTTTCTTTCTCCTCCATTGATCAACTAACAATACGAGAGGTACACGTTGCGCCCGCAGCATTTTCCTCCCTTTCGCGTGTGTGTACCAGCAACTCTTACTCTTCATCCAAACTGTCAGGATATCCGATAAACATGCCTAAATCATATGCTGTATCAGAGCGTGCAAACATAGAGATCATCTATTAACTTCAAGTTTTTTTAATGTACACTAAATTTAATTTACGCCTGATTTGCCTGCAGATTTGCGCTTGCTAGAGATGGAGAGAAAATTTTATAGAGCTTTTATATATTTTTTTTATTTGATAAAATAATATATAAAAGCTCTATAAAATTTTTCCTCCATCTCTAGCATTAAGATCTAGCATTAATGCTAGAGATGGAGGGAAAATTTTATAAAGCTTTTATATATTTTTTTTATTTGATAAAAAATCTAGAGCTTTTATATATTTTTTTATCAAATAAAAAAAATATATGGAGGGAAAATTTTATAGAGCTTTTATATATTTTTTTTATTTGATAAAAAATCTAGAGCTTTTATATATTTTTTTAAGATTTAGATAAATTTTCCCTCCATCTCTAGCATTAAGATCTAGCATTAAGAGTTAGCATTAGTTAGAGATGGAGGGAAAATTTTATAGAGCTTTTATATATTTTTTTATCAAATAAAAAAAATATATAAAAGCTCTATAAAATTTTCCCTTCATCTCTATCATTAATGCTAACTCTTAATGCTAGATCTTAATGCTAGAGATAGAGGGAAAATTTTATAGAGCTTTTATATATTTTTTTTATTTGATAAAGCTCTAGATTTTTTATAAAAAAAAAATATATATAAAAGCTCTATAAAATTTTCCCTCCATCTCTAACTAATGCTAACTCTTAATGCTAACTCTTAATGCTAGAGATGGAGAGAAAATTTTATAGAGCTTTTATATATTTTTTATTTAATAAAAAAATATATAAAAGCTCTATAAAATTTTCCCTCCATCTCTAGCATTAAAAAATTAAGAGAATGTAACCTAGAAGTGCGTCATTACACCTTGTTAAAGACGAAAGTGGAATAATTAAGAGAATATATAAATTAAAGCTTAATATCATGGACGTATATTAAGTTTCTTCCGCAAAGAAAGTATATATATCTTTCAAACTCCATTTAACAAAGGCTATAAAAGCAATTAATGGTCACAAAACCAGGTACTGAACCTGTTCAATTGGTTGAGATATATATCAACTACTTTATAGTGCATTGATTTTGCGGGACAAGTATTCATTCGATCCAAAAGAAATTTTTAAAATATATATAAGCATATATAAGCGTTGGAGAAAAAAATTATTTCAACAATTTTCTTTAAGAAAAATGATCTTCCTAAATTATCTTCAAAGAGCTTGCAGCTCCTAAAGTTATTAATTATTACAAACTATTCGTAAGCTACGAAGCTGCTTACGTAAACTTTATCCGTTTGGTAAACGAAAACTTGATTATTCAGTAAACAGACTCGCTATTATCGCGTTAACTTTATTTGTATAAAATTGCCGGTGTTCACTCCTGTAAACCGCTCTATGATTCTTGAATTTTATCGAACAACACGCAGAGATATACTACATTTCGGACGGCGTTTAATAAATTGGAGAACAAAGCCGTATGCAAGCTCTCTTTCCCATATGCACCACGGAACAATCAACGAAATCGGCGCGTCCGGGCCATTTGACTGTTTGTGTGTTCTTTGTCTCGCAAATTTTTCCACCACAGCGTCGAAAGCGGAGAAAAACAAGTTTTTCCGTGCAAAGTCGGGTGTGTCAGCGCGACAGATGTTATGTCGTCGCGAAGAGTAACGATTCACATGTGACACACGTCGCTTTAGTCCGTCGTCCCTTCGTCTTCCTCATACGCGTCTCACAAACGGAAAATATACATATATACATAGATACATATGTATAATATATGTATGTGTATACATGTATGATTTAATAAATATATGCAGAATTATTTCAACAACTAAACTCTTGTTGGTACCAAAATTGTTCTATTTAAAATATGTTATATAATGAGATTAATTTTTTTTTTAGGTAAAAGTGTAGAGGAAATTTCAAAGCCGATTTTATTTTTCCAAATAATAAATTTAAATAACAAATTAATTTTTTCAAATAGTATATACTATTATTTTTGCTAACACAAGTTTAATAATTTATTTATGAAAAGTTATTCGAAATAATGAAAGATTGAAAATTAATGAGATTTATTTACGTTTACTAATATATTCCGGTCAAAGTACAATT